GCTAGGAGGGGCTTAAGGAAATTCCCCTGGGAGACCATTATGTTTCTATATTGGAAGGAGTGGGGCTTGGATATTCTAAAGGAAAGTAAGTGAGGGCTAAAGAGAATTCCCTTGGGAGTGGGTGGGGCTCAGAGATTTGGGGAAAGAAAGCATTGGTTTAGAATTCTGCGAGCGCAAGGTGCAGTCTCGAGCCTAGTTGGAAGGCGGAAGGGAAGACCCTGGGGACTTGGGGGTGTGGCTTGGTTACCCTGTGACTTTGGCTGTGGATAGCCTCTGACACTGACTACTTTTGTCTCACATGTAGGTCTTCCACTTTCACCTTGGTGCCTGTCTTTGCCCCGCTGAGCAACTTCCAGAGCCTCCTTCTAGCTGTTGGTTCAGCCTTCTTCATTGCGACCCGTGCCCAGAGCCCGTGCTGCAGCCATGTCACTCCTGGCGACCCTGGGGCTGGAGCTGGACAGGGCCCTGCTCCCAGCTAGCGGTCTGGGCTGGCTCGCAGACTATGGGAAACTCCCCCTGGCCCCTGCCCCCCTCGGCTCCTATGAAATCCTTGGGGGAGCCCTGGAGGGTGGGCTCCCAGGGGGAGGAGAGCCCCTGGCAGGTAAGGACAGGTGGAGAATGGAGGTGGGGTGAGCTGGGGCATGGGGGACAGGGGAGAAGAATTCATTTATTCACTCAAGAAATATTTACTGAGTACCTGTAATAAGCCAGGTCATGTTTTAGGTGCTGGGGGATACAGCTGAGACAAGACCAACATAATCCCTGCCTTCCCGGAACTCACACACTAGTGGGGAGGCAGACAAAAGACGAATTAAGTGATGATATATTGGGATAAGTGGAAAACAGTAGCTGAGCCAAAAAAATAAAAACACAGCCTTAGTTTACAGCGAGTAGCCAGGAAACATATAGGTAACATTTTGGCTGAGACCTAAAGGCTGGGAAGGAATAAGCCAAAAAAAGACCCAAAGGAAGAGCTTTTCAGGTAGAGGAAACGGCATATGCAGAGGCCCTGGGGCAGGGGTTATTTCACTCATTAGTGTTTTCCAAACGCTTGGCACATGGTTTGTTCTCAATAATTAATGAATTAAAGATGAAATGGGTGTGTTGTGTGTGTGAGACCTAGTTTGTCTTTAGGGAATGGAGAGTAAATCAGAAACTATGGACGTAGGGTAGTTAGTAAAGATTATTTGGGAATGGTTGAAGATCTAGCTGGTTGAGTTTTGTTGTTTGGGTCATTGGTTGGTTGACTGATCCATTGATTGGCTGCTTACTAGGTCGACTGGTTGCTTGACTGCTTCATTCACTTAGTTGATTCGTTGGCCAACTGGTGGGTAGTTGATTGGCTGGTTAACTGGTTGGCTAGATGTTTGATTTGTTGGCTGGTTTGTTGAGGGGTCTGATGATTCACGGGTTGGTCGGTTGACCGATTGGCTCGTAGGTGGTGTCGCTCAGCGAATGGGATGAATGAAGCGGACGCGAATGAGCACCAGGTGAGGCAGGAGACCGGGAACTCAAGGAAATTTATGTCCCTCCTCCGATTCTCCAGGTGACGGCTTCTCTGACTGGATGACTGAGCGGGTGGACTTTACGGCCCTCCTGCCCCTGGAGCCCCCCTTACCCCCAGGTGCCCTCCCCCCACCCTCCC